GTGCTTCGATTTCAACACATAGTACTTTATCTTTTAGCAAATTGTTTCAAGATGGTACTTTAGAGAGGTCATTTTTCGATTTAATCAATAGTTATTAAATGCCATTGTAAAAACCACCGAAAAGTTTCGAAAAACCGCTAAAAATTGGATTTTAATTTCTAACGGTTTGTTTATTACAGAGCTTTACACTGGAATCATTTTTTGGGTTTCGGGTTTCGGGTGTTGAGAGAAAATTCGGGTTATTGAATTCGGGTGTTACGGGTTAATACACTTTTCTGGTTACGGTTAAATGCAAATTTATTCGGCTTATTTAAGTAAACATAATAAAAAAAATTAAATTTAATATTAATACTTATTAGTTATTAGTTTATTACTTAGTACTTAGGTACTTAGTCTTTTTCTATAGAAGAAAGTTCTCGCTTATTACATATTTTAATTTTTAACTAAACATATTTTCGTTATATTTATTTTTGATTAAGACAACACAATTGCTATTGTCTATTATTGAATATTGTGAAATAAAATAAAACAGTCATCTAGTATCAAGGTCTTTTTTAAATATTTAATTAATTATTTTTAAGGTTACAAAAAAAAAAAGTTTGCTCTACTGTACAGTAGGTTACAAGTGGGCCACTGTATAATGGATGGTATTAAATTTGAATTCAATGATATAATATCATTGTGCAAGAAAAATGATTCTGAGCGGAGACGGCATGTGTGTCTAGGTATAAGACATTTGGTATTAAAAACAAAATTGACCTATAATAAATTCCAAATTAATCATATCACAATATCCATTAGGTAGGTACTTATAACGCGTTATACATCAATAACAAACGATACTATCATAGATATAAAGTAGTCAGTGGTGTAGACAAGGGGGTGGCGTGGGGGTCAGACCCCCCCTTGGCTTTTTATTACCTTAGAATAAATTTTGAGAAGGTGGGGGATTTTCCAATTTTTCCCTCCCATTAGCAATGTCGTTTTTTTTTTTTTTTTGATCCCCCCCTTTCAGAAATCATGTCTACGCCACTGATAATATACTTGAGAAGTTTCAAGTACCCACGAATAATATTATACAATCATAACAAAATAACTAAAATAGTTATTCTAGGTTTTTTAATATGTAATTTCGTCCAAATTTGTATTTAAAATGACTAAAAATAAACTGTGCTTGTGTATTTTTTAGATTTTTTGGTAACAGAATTAACTACTTATATGGAATCTTTTTATACATTTTCAATCCTTAGATATAAAAGTTGAACATTTTATAAATTTTTAACTACAAAATAATTATTCAATTTTAAATTTGATAAATTTTGTCAACATTTGATCTTTAAATGCTTATAAAAAAAAATTGTGCCAATGTATTTTTAATATTTTTCAACTGCTATTGTAACAATATATCAGGAGCCTTGTATTAAATTTTTACACTTTTTGGCCCAACAATTTATTTTCAATAATTCGGGTTTCCGGGTTTTGTATATACGGGTTTTGGGTTATGATATTTATTTGGGTTAATTCGGGTTTCGGGTTACGTTCGGGTGCAAAGCCCTGGTTTATTACCATAGAAACGAATAAAAAATTATAATATTATAATATTAATTCAACTAAACAATGATAGAATATCATTGCATTCAAGTTTAACAGAATTCATTATACGCAATGACTCACGTGTAACCTACTATACAGCAGAACGACGTCCACTTACCAGCTTTTTTTATATATGAAAGTGAAATAACTGAACAAAAAATAATATCCCATGCCATATTATATTGCCAATGACAATTTCTAATCAATAATTAATAATAATTAAGATTAGATATTGCTTGATAGATGGTGCAAATGTTGTGTACTTACAACCACATAATTTCGCCTTTAGGGGCTGAATTTCCAAAAATCCTTTCTTAAAGCACTGTGCAATTATAATATTAATCCTTCCTAAAATTTCAACCGGGCCCACCCTGTGGTTTGGGCTCTATGTTGATTACTATCTATTTATAAGTTTATAACGATTCATAAGTCGATTCAAACGTACCGTAGAACAGTATATGAATACAGAATAGGTTCATCATATAAACTAAACTAAATATTTTCAAATATAATTTTGTAAATTAAATAATAATAAATATAGTGGCTAATCGTCCATACGAATAATATTTTTAAACTACAACAAAATAACTAAAATTTAAAATCGTTTTATTCGGTTGAACATTCTATTTTGACAAAATTTGAACTTCAAACGCATATAAACAACGGTCGTGAGTACATATTTTTGATATTTTTTAATTGCTTTTAAAGTAGTTCATGTGTGATGTAGTATAACGTTTTCAATATCTTTTATTCACAAAATGTTTGTTTTTATCAAAAAAAGTAGATGTCATATGTGTCTATAAATACGCAGAATGTGATGTAATATTTCGAAATGGATATCATGTCTAAAAAATAGTAATATAAATATTTAGCGAAGCACTAAATTCATTTTTGACAAACAACAAACAATTTTTTTTTTAATTTTTAACTTTTAAGTACCAGATACATCTATTTACTATACCTGAAACCACACTCTGAGTTGAAGATATAAAAAGGGCTTTCAAACACACATAACAAAATTTTAAGAAGAACACATATCAATCTAAACCAATACATTTATCCCTCTTCTATACAAGACTTACAAGAAATTAAATTTTTAAAAGTACAAAAAAAAACGTCTTCAACTTTATTAGGTATACAAAAAAATAGGTTAGATAACTGCAAGTGTAATATCTATATTCGAAACACTAAATTTAAACTTCAGAGCATACCGTGATTTCATTAACGTTAGTTCAACAGTTTAAAATAATATTGTCATAAGACATAAATCATGGTTTAATGGTTGGTGTATACAAAATACTAAATAGGAACTAATTTATCTCGTACTATCTGCCGTTACTTATGACCTCTTAACTATTTTCATGAGTATTATTATATTATATACCTACACCTAATCATCGTGGATACCGATTATTGGTCAATGATTCCAAAAAAATGAAAGAACCTGACTCGTGGTAATCTATGCTTTAAGAATTTATGAAAACATCTAAAATAATGGTGAATAAATAGTATTGATACAATTTTTTTTATATACAATGTATAAGTATATTATTATATATTATTTTAGTGTTAATGCCAAAAACAAGGTTATACCATACAGTAATATCATAGTAATATTATACTCTATGGGTTATACATACCCTCTCCATCCACTAATGGAAACATGAATTCATAAAATCCTTACCGTCTTAAACAGAATATTTTAATTGTTGAAGTTATATACTGTGCCCAATTTTGTTTGTCGTTCTTCGTAGTTCGTATAAGACGCGCGTAGACAATTTCAAATATCTTTAAATATCAAAAAAAAAGACAATATATTTTGAAAATTATATATCATGTTTAGTAAATGCTATTATGAAGTTTTGGTGAAAATGTCAAGTCTCTACAGTTATTAATTTTTGAGTTGCAATACAAAAAAAAATCTATAGACTTGTTTTGCGTAAATATTCCCGTTTTTTCTTATTATTTTTTTTGTTTTTATTCTACCTAGTTATTTTTAAGAACTGGGGATTTTTTACTTTTATCTATCTCCGAAAGTATCAATCAAATCCAATTTTTAATCAAAATCCACCTTCACAATTGCGAATTAAAATGTGATGATTAACATAAAAAAACATACATCATGGTGAAACCATACATTCATCGAACCACTCATAATCTAAAAAAATGATGTGCATCAGGTACTTATTAGATATTTATTTTCAAAATAGTTTCTATATCTATGTATTTAACTATAACTGGTTAAACCATAATATGTTTTATATGGCTATTAAATGGAAATTATTGTTTTTCTGTACCTATGTTATATTTTATTTTGTAATTATAAAACGTGTTTATTATTGTTCATATATTCATATATCTACCTAAGTAGAGGGTACTGAGAATAAGTAGTAAGTACATAATAATCTGAAATGTATATAAATAGATATCTAATAATTATCAATAACACATATAATATCTATATAGTTTTTATCAAGGATTTATCATTAATCAGTGGTTCTAGTTTATAATGTTAGTAGAGTTCAGAATTAAATAACAAATTGAACTGATCTACTAGCGCGTTATAAAATAGGTACCTATATATATTAGTTTTAAAAGTATTGCTATTGACCTAACCAATAACAGTTGTATTAAATATTATAACTACAGATATAGGTAATTTTTCAATATGATTGTACAACTATTTCCCAAGTAGGTATACAAACAGATTGATAGTATTTTATTTGATATTATAATACATTTTAATATTGTTGAAAATATGTATTTAATAAAATATTGTGATAACGTTCACCTATATTAAAATAATATATAATAATATATTATCTTTATATTACTACGCCACTAGAGAAATAAAATCATAAAATTAATTTTCATTGAGTTAACTATACACATATTATAATATATTATATTGATTATAATCAATAAATAATAATATGTTAAGTACTCATTATTCCAATGTTAAGTATGTAAATATACCCATATAAATGTATGTGTTCCCAAACTCGAGTAGATTATAGTATAATAATTAATAACTAAATAACGTATTTACTATCAGACGGAATTTTACTAGTTACTTTATAATTAGGTATTTAATGGGTAGCTACTAGCTAATATTCAAATAGTAATAACAGAATACATATTTTTATATTATATGCAATGTATAAAGTGGTAACTGGTATTAGCAATGTAGGTATTTATACAATATGCTAATTCAGAGTTTGGAATAGGTAGAGGGGATTTTTCTCGATAAACCAGAATATTAGGTATATTATTGTGCATGCCCGAGGAAAACATTAAAACTACGTCAGGATATAAACATTAGTTACGATTGTTACGAACACAATTTAAGAGGTTATAGACAGTATATATTTTTATATTTCACCTTATTTTTAACATTAGATTATATTATGACAATCTATTTTTTCTCGTTAATATTATTAAGTTTCAGTTTATGTGTGACAGCAGGTAAATATAGTGTTCGATACAATTAATAATAAATTAAATTAACTCAATCGAAAAATCAGTAGTTTAATACAGTTATTTTTTATCGGTTTTAGCTCCACAAAGGTCAAATTATAAATTCTTAGGATGCTTTTTGGAAGAAAATCTATTAACTCTTGGAGAAGAAAGCCGTGTCTTAACACCAATATCGCCTAAATCTTGTTCAGAGTTCTGCTTCGAGAAAAAATATTTATTTTTTATTCTTAAAAATGAGTAGGATCTTATTTTTTCGTTGTATTATAACTAGCATGGATGTAAAAAGAGAAACGTTAAGAAAATACGTTGTTAACAAATGACTTAAATAGGTTCTCACAATGTTATTTTTCCAGGAACTGTTATTGTAGCAAAAATTATATTTCGAGACTAATGAAACAGTTTGATAATGAATGTACGATTAAATGCACGGGCGATGAATCGGCTTCGTGTGGTGGAAAACCAAATTTAGTGTCTTCATATACAACAGATAGTTCAAGTAAGTAAAAATCATTTTTTTAATGCATTTAAATATATTTAGTTTTTAGAAAATATAATATGTATATTTAACCACATATTATTCTTTAGTGATATTATATTATAAATATGTTCAATATAAATTTTTATAACTTATAATATCAATCATGATAGTGACGGTAAAATCACATTATCAAAATATTGTGACCTGTCTTGAGCTAAATATAGACATTTAACATTTTTTATTTTTTTAGTTTTTTTTTATAAATGTTAACAACATTTTTTTCATAAGCTTGAAAATCTTGAAAATGTAATACAAGGTTCCTCGTAAGTTGTTATAATAGCAGTTGAAAAATATTAAATATACTTAGGCAAGATTTTTAAAGTATCTAAAATTCAAATGTTGACTGATTCACAAAAAACCACGAAAGTTTGAAAACTATTTTGTAGTTAAAAATGTATAAAATATTCAATTTTTATTGCTAAAGAATGAAAATTTTAAAATTTTTTTTAAAAGTAGTAAATAATGTAACCAAAACATCTGAAAAATATAATATATGCATAGTATTTTTTTTATAGATAATAATTAATAGGTATATAATTAAATTTGAACGAAATTTTATATTTTACGAAGTATAACGATTTTATTTAGGTACATTATTGTACCTAATTTAAAAATAATATTCGTAGGTATTTGAAACTTTTAAAATTGAACATATATTTTATATTCATTATGCACAATAACTTTTTAAAATTCAATTTGTTCGGAAAACATAAATGCAACCAACCTATACCTATCTACTGTAGGTACAGTGAAACCTCGATAAGTCAAAAGTCAAAACCCTTAATAAGTTTTAATAAATTCCGTTATCTTGTCTAATCTAGCCTAAGCTAACATCATCTTAGTAAGTGAAGGAACTCGACAAGTCGAAAAAATTTCCCTTGAATTTTTATTTATCGAGGCCCCACTGTATTACTAATTTCTGGTAGTATACCTAAAATAAATTACTTAAATAGCAATAATATCATAAAATATATTTAATAGTATAGGTTGATAGACCGTCTTCGCTCAGAAGTCAGAATCATTTTTGGTATATAATGATTTTATATCATTGAATTCAAATTTAACACATCCATTACAATAAACCCTGCAACTAGCACCTGCTGTACAGCAAAGCGGTATTATATTGCCCACTCATTTTTTAAAAATATTTTTACCAAGATAATATTATTTACGAATTTGTTGTTATTTAAATAATTATTATCTGCGTTTAGTAACGAAATTTGTGATAAGATGATGCCATAACATTATACATTTCGATTTACCTTATAGGTACCTACTAATGACGTAATACACCTAGCGATGCTAATACAAGGTTCCTTAATTTTTATAAATTATTTTATGCTTAAAAATATTAATTTATTAAATGTTATTTAATTTTATACTATATATAACATATTATTGTCATATGCTAATTTTTTTATTATTTTTTCCAGTATCAAACAACTATATTGAACGCGGTAGTTTTCCAATACCAATTTATTTAGGGTGCTACTCTGAAACCCCAAATGATGATGAAAATCGTTTATTAAAAGGGCCAGCGGGACCTTATAATAATAATACACCTCAAAGATGCTTAGAAATATGTTTCAGGATGGGATATTTATATTTTGGAAATACATATGGGTAGGTAAATACTAAATAGATGTACATAATTATACATAAAATAGGTACCTATACATAATAAAGAAAGATAGACTTTTTACTTTTGATTATGCTTTTGAATTTTGATGTAGATATTTAACACCATACCTTTATAAAGGTATATGTATTAGGTATTTACTCTTTAAATTCACTAGCAGATAAATAAAAGTGTATTAGAAAAAAAAACAAAATATCAAAATGTAATGCTACAATTATATCCAATACAGAAATAAAATATGTGGCTAGGAATATATTTTTTTCCAATTTTAAATGGCACAATCTTAAATCTATTTTACTAATTTCAAACATAGGTACTATATTATTAAATTAAAACGTAAAATAAAACAACGTAAATAGCAAGAAATAATATTAAACGATATTATTTATTATGGAGTAGGACAACTGATGTCTGATAATTTAAAACTGTATAACTCTGAAGTTATAATTTTCAAATCATTTTCAACCATTTGTTAGAAGTATAATTAATTTTAAAAGTATTAAGTAAAAATCCAAATATTAAAATAACATTAAAAATGATCATCCTATTAATTAATTTAAGTTAAAGTCATGGTTATAAGTTATAATAATATAATTAAGATAATTAAATTATTACCTAGCATTACACATTCGTCAAAATAAGACTATACCAATATTGACATAGGTACATATTATGTATTTGTAGATCAGAATGTTGGTGTGGAAATCAAAAGCCATCGAAATCATTGAAAGTAGAAGACATTAATTGTGATTCTCCTTGTAGTGGCAATACTAATCAGTTCTGTGGCGGTGGATGGAAAATGGGAATTTATTCAACTGGAATTACTGGTTATTATTATAATTATTTATTTTTTGGATGTTGTAATAGGTAATTACCTAATTACATGTAAACAATATTGGAAATAAAATATTTACAGACTATGTATCAAAAAATTATGTTGGATGTTATGATGCTAATGATGACGATGAAAACAAAAGCAAAGAAAAGCATTTAGTATTTCAGATGGGAACAAATAATAGCCCTAAACGGTGCATGAATCTTTGTAATACTCAACGATTTAAATATGCTGCGGTTAAAGGGTAGGTATATTCGCTTTTTTACTAGGTATTTAATTATCAAATATTATTAATGAGTTTACTTATTTATAGTAACGTCTGTGAGTGTATGAATTACGAACCAAATTTTAGTTTAAAAAGAAGTTATAGTGATTGTTATACACTATGCACAGAAAATCCAGCAGAATATTGTGGTGGTAGAAATACATTTAGTATTTACAAAACAATATATTTAGGTAAGTATGAGAAAATACAAATTATTTAATAACTATAATAATATACTGAATACTGATATTATATTTATTGAAAATAATAAAAATGTAGATCCTCAAGGGAAAGTGTCTGTGAATAATATTGGATGCTTTAAAAATTTTAAAAGACATCCAATATTATATGGTTGGGGAATAATATCTTCTAACCTAACTCCTAAAAAATGTGTGTACAGTTGTTATGCAAGAAGGTTTCCTTATGCGGCACTTGTATCTTCGTAAGTAAATCAATTTAATCAGTAAAATTATAATTCAATTAGTTTTCGAAATATTTTGATCATTTATTTTTATCCAAAAATTACCACCTTTCAGAAAATTGTAGTTTTTTGCATTATTTTTTTGTCGATATTTATCAGTGCTAAAATAATTTTAACGGGAATAAAAATAATTTGCTAATAAGTAATACTTTATACTTTATAGTTTATAGTTAGTACCTATATTCATACAAAAATTAATAAAGTACAAAGTTTTACTTTAAACTTGATAAATGGTTGATTTTATCCACTATTATTTATAATATTAAGCTTAATATTTAAGTCTTATTGGTTGTAAGCCATTTTTAAAATCAGCCTATATAAAATGTATAACTCAAATACAAAATAAAATTGCTATCCAAGTATTATGTTTTTTTATCTTAAGCTATTATCTCATATTCTGGTTTAATATGTAGGTATGTATTTTGTACGTAATAGAAAAAAACATTGTAACATTAAAATTGTGTGTGGTACAAATCTCATATTATTTAATTGATATTTTTTTCATTGAAACTTTTAAATATTCGAATAATTATAATGTTGAACCATGAGTAATGAGTATCATGCTTCAAGTGAACTTGTTGCTATTTGCATATTATTTAACGCATGATTGCAGTATTCTTTTCAAATGTTGATGGGTTTTTTTAGAGATATAAAGGTAGCCTATATTTTTCCTGAAGCAACCCTACACGACTTCATGTTAGTTATATATATTTATTATTTATGTATAAATTCTACTTAGGTTAAAAAATCCATTATTTGTCACTTACTTTCTAATGTAAGTTACCAAATGTTTTTATATTATTTCTTTTCAAAAATTAAAAAACTAAGATGGTATTTTAGATTCTGAGCGGAGCGATTTTCACATAATTTTACAATGATGTGTTTTAAATTTTTTCAAATTTTTTTTGACTTTCGATTGTCATCACCTTTTAGGACAGTAAAATTGCTTAGATTTTCTTCAACTATATCAACACTATCTTTTCTGATAGGAAAATTAATTTATTTGATACTTTGAGGGGGTAAAAAGTAAAAATTGTCCAGTAGTTTGTAAAAGTGCCGTGGAAAACAAAAGAAAAATTAAGGAAAAGCGAGCATTTTTACTCAAAATCGGTTTTCTACAAAATCGATTTTGGTTTTTGGTGTAACTCTAAAACAAATTACCGTAGATACATGACATTTCCACTGGTTATTTATATTAGCATTTTATATACACCGTAACATTTTCAAAATATTTTTACTTAAAAAATATTGATTTGTTTAAAATGTAATACAAGGCTCTGGCTCTTTATATATTGTTACAATAACATTTGAAAAATATTAAAAATCCATGATCACAATTTTTTGACATTTTATTATGTCTTTGCTTTGGCACACAGAATCGAAATCGTAAAACGTTACAAAAAAACGTTACGTTACGAAAAAAATTGCAAAATATAATTTTTCTAATCCGAGATTCGAACTCGATATACGCGCTTATCACACGATAGTTAGGTGATATATGATAGCAGGGACAACAAAGACATAAAATGTAGTTGCAGACTCGTATGTAATATGATTTTCTGATATTATAGCATCAGATCTTAACATTAATGACGATTGACAACAGTACCTACTTACTTTATTTTTTATCGTTTTCAGCCATTATTATTTTCATAATAAGATATTTTACCCATAGTAACTTACTTTTAAAAATTGATACAGTATGTCCAGTAAATAATAAACCTAAGATGGTTAGGTATTTAAAAACAGTGAGCAATTTGTGGTACGTTATTATTGGAAAATCCTAATTCGTTTAAAAATATACATACTAATATTATCACTATTATTATGAAATAAAAAATAAATAAAACATAATATGCAATATGCATACAATATAAGTTCTCTTCTATCAGTGATAGCGGATTGTGGCCACTGGCTAGTGGCTATCCTAGAGAATAAATACTTGGAGAGTGATTCTTATATTTTATAAAAATCATCCTATTTATGTTACTGTGATCATACCTGGGTCACTTATAGCTGACCCAGCAATTTTCATTTTATGATATATTTATAACTTATAAGCATTCAAAATTCAAATTTTGACAAAAGGGGTAAAAATCACTAAAATGTTCAAATTATTTCAAGTTAGAAATTCCTAAAATGTATCTTTTTAAAATGTAATACAAGATTCTTTATAAGGTTATCTACCTTTATCAAAAAAAATATCTAAGTAAGTCTATTAAAATTTTTATGAGCTTTTGAAATTCAAATTTTTGCAATATTGGATATACATTCGTTTTCTCCTGAAACGATTTTCTTATTTTGTTGTAATTCTAAAATGAATAACCGTAGACACTTGAGATTTATATCATGTTTATTTTATCAATTCCTATACTTGATAACATTTTTTAATTTGTTTTGAGCTGTTTACGGACAATTTCAAATTTCAATTTTTTGTAGTAAAATGTTCAAAATAATATATAATTTTATGTGAACAAATTAAAAAAAAGGTGGGTAAGTGGATGTCGCTCTGCTGTACAGTAGGTTACAAGTGGGTCACTGTATAATGGATGCTTTTAAATTTGAATTCAATGATACAATATCATTGTATAAGAAAAACGATTCTGAGCGAAGACGGTATGTCAGTCTAGGTTTAAGACAAATTATATACATATCTATGGTATTAAAAAAAAATTGACCTATAATAAATTCCAAATTAATCATATCACATTATCACAATATCCATTAGGTACTTATAACATGTTATACATCAACATCAATAACAAACCCTGATACTATCATAGATATATAATAGTACCCTTTAGAAGTTTCAAGTAGGTACCCCGTACCCACGAATAATATTATATAATCACAACAAAATAACTAGGTTTTTTAATATGAAATTTCGTCCAAATTTGAACATAAAATGACTATAAAAATAAACTGTGATTGTATATTTTTTAGATTTTTCGGTAAGAGAATTAACTACTTACGTAGAATCTTGTTTTAAATTTTCAATCCTTAGCTATAAAAACTGAACATTTTATAATTTATTAATTACGATGATTAATAATTTTCGAGATTTTGAAAAATTCTGTCAAAATTCGATGTTAAAACGCTTATAAAAAAAAATTGTGCCTATGTATTTTTAATATTTTTCAACTGATATTGTAACAATATATCAGGAGCCTTGTATTAAATTTTTACACTTTTTGGCCCAACAGATAAAACTTAATTGATATTTATAGAAAAAAAAAACTAAAAAAATTGAAAACTGAAAATGTCCGTAAACGGCTCAAAAAGAGTCAAAATATTTTCAAAATTGTATGGTGTATAGGAAATGCTAATATAAACATTCAGTGAAATTTTCATGTATCTACAGTTATTCGTTTTTGAATTACAACAAAATAAGGAAATCGCTACATGAGAAATCGAGTGAACATCCAATGTTGTAAAAATTTGAATTTCAAACGCTCATAAAAATTTAATTTGACATTCCGGTAGAGATTTTTTTATTGATAAAGGTAGACATTCTTATGAGTAATCTTGTATTAGATTTTCAAATCTTAGATTTAAAAAGAAAAATTTTTACGAATTCTTAACTCAAAATAATTTGCTAATTTTCGTGATTTTTCCATATTTTGTCAATTTTTGAACTTTAAATGCTTATAAAAAAAAATTGTGACTAAGGATTTTTAATATTTTTCATCTGCCTTTGAAACAATATATTAGGAGCCTTCTATTAAATTTTCAAGCTTTCGCAACCAACAAATAAAATTTTATTGATATTTCTAGAAAAAAAACTAAAAAAAAACGAAAAATGAAAATGTCCCTAAACTGTTCAAAATAAATCAAAATATTTTGAAAATGTTATCGTGTATAGAAGATGCAAATATAAACAACCAGTGAAAATTTCATGTATCTACGGTCATTTGTTTTAAAGTTACACCAAAAACCAGAATCGATTTTTTGGAAAACCGATTTTGCGTAAAAATTCCCGTTTTTCCTTAATTTTTATGTTGTTTTTCCCGGCGCTCTTGAAAACTACTGGGAAATTTAAATTTTGACCTCCCCAATGCACCAACGATATTCACTTTCCAATCGAACAAGATACTGAAGTCGAAAATCGAAGCATTATTTCGACTACTTATCGTGTACACAGACACAAAAAAAATAAATATAAAAATAAAAAAATAAAAAAAAAAACACACATCATTGTAAAATCAATACATTCATCGTTTCACTCAGAATCTAAAAATTCTTACTCAAATGGCATAATTTATTTTGTATAGGAAAGAATGTTTATGCAGCTTTACCAAACCTTCGATTGAAGGTATGATTGAGGATAGTATGTGTACGACTCTTTGTTCTGGTTCATCTAAAGATACATGCGGTGGTCTTAATGCGATAAATGTATACAATACTGGATTAGAATGGCGGACGAGTACAATTGGAAATTATTATTTGGGTTGTTTCGAGGAAAGTCAAAATAACAGAATATTGAATGGTTACTCACGGTCTTTTTCTGTGAATACGCCAGAATTTTGTTCAAACCTTTGTTACAAATTTGGGTATATTTACTCAGGTGTAACATATAAATCTGAATGTTTTTGTGGAAGCCAGTCTCCAAACGAACCTAAGTTTGCTAAATTGGAAGATAAACAATGCAATACAAAGTGTTCGGGTGATGCTAATCAATTTTGTGGTGGTGGCTGGAGAATGGGAGTATTTGCTACTGGATTATATGGTAATTTTTAATAACGACTAATTATTATAAGCATAAATGATTACAAACAGTTATTGATTATTTTATAACTTGTATAAAAGAGAGAAATTTGGTTTAGATTATTTAACTTCAAGACATTTAACATTATTTAGAAACCTACATTTAGTAGATAATATTATAAACTTCGGGGGACAGAGGGGCCGAGCTAACTAAAGCGTAGCGAACCGACGCCGGTTCAAAACCTCGACCACGGGAGGCATTTTTCTTCGGTCAAGTCACGGTCTCCGGAGAGAAGTGCCACCATCCCCCACCCGGGCATACCTAAGGGTGCCCACTAAAAACTCTGCCAAACTGTGTAAGCGTGTTTAAACCTACAGTTAAAAAACCACCCAATAGCCTAAGTGGCCGAGGGTTAATTAATAAAAAAAAAAGAAATAATACTTAAGTTTATAAAAAAAAAAAAGGTGGGTAAGTGGATGTTGCTCTGCTGTACAGCAGGTTACAAGTGGGTCACTGTATAATTGATGCTATTAAATTTGAATTCAATGATACAATATCATTGTATAAGAAAAACGATTCTGAGCGAAGACGGTATGTCAGCCTAGGTTTAAGACAAATTATATACATAATTACAAATATCACAATATCCATTAGGTACTTATAACACGTTATACACCAACAACAAACCCTGATACTATCATATATATATATATATATATATATGTACACTTTAGAAGTTTCAAGTAGGTAGTAGGTACCAACGAATAATATTATATAATCACAACAAAATAACTAGGTTTTTTAATATGTAATTTCGTCCAAATTTGAACATAAAATGACTATAAAAATAAACTGTGATTGTATATTTTTTAGATTTTTCGGTAAGAGAATTAACTACTTACGTGGAATCTTGTTTTAAATTTTCAATCCTTAGCTATAAAAACTGAACATTTTATAATTTATTAATTACGATGATTAATAATTTTCGAGATTTTGAAAAATTCTATCAAAATTCGATGTTAAAATGCTTATAAAAAAAAATTGTGCCTATGTATTTTTAATATTTTTCAACTGATATTGTAACAATATGTCAGGAGCCTTGTATTAAATTTTTACACTTTATGGCCCAACAGATAAAACTTAATTGATATTTATAGAAAAAAAAAACTATTAAAATTGAAAACTGAAAATGTCCGTAAACGGCTCAAAAAGTGTCAAAATATTTTCAAAATTGTAGGGTGTATAGGAAATGCTAATATAAACATTCAGTGAAATTTTCATGTATCTACAGTTATTCGTTTTTGAATTACAACAAAATAAGGAAATCGCTACATGAGAAATCGAGTGAACATCCAATGTTGTAAAAATTTGAATTTCAAACGCTCATAAAAATTTAATTTGACATTCCGGTAGAGATTTTTTTATTGATAAAGGTAGACATTCTTATGAGTAATCTTGTATTAGATTTTCAAATCTTAGATTTAAAAAGAAAAATTTTTACGAATTCTTAACTCAAAATAATTTGCTAATTTTCGTGATTTTTCCATATTTTGTCAATTTTTGAACTTTAAATGCTTATAAAAAAAAATTGTGACTAAGGATTTTTAATATTTTTCATCTGCCTTTGAAACAACATATTAGGAGCCTTCTATTAAATTTTCAAGCTTTCGCAACCAACAAATAAAATTTTATTGATATTTTTAGAAAAAAAACTAAAAAAAAATGGAAAATGAAAATGTCCCTAAACAGTTCAAAATAAATCAAAATATTTTGAAAATGTTATCGTGTATAGAAAATGCAAATATAAACAACCAGTGAAAATTTCATGTATATACGTTCATTTGTTTTAGAGTTACACCAATAACCAAAATCGATTTTTTGGAAAATCAATTTTGCGTAAAAATTCCTGTTTTTCCTTAATTTTTATGTTGTTTTTCCCGGCGCTTGTGAAAACTACTGGGAAATTTAAATTTTGACCTCCCCAATGCACCAACGATATTCACTTTCCAATCGAACAAGATACTGAAGTCGAAAATCGAAGCATTATTTCGACTACTTATCGTGTACACAGACACAAAAAAAATAAAAAATAAAAAATAAAAAAATAAATATAAAAACACACATCATTGTAAAATCAATACATTCATCGTTTCACTCAGAATCTAAAAATAGTATTGCTCCAAATGTAAATTTCTTTGTATATAAATGTTTCTAATTATATAGGTAATAGTATAATAATTGTTTATTTGTGTTGAAACATAATACATCAACTAAATATTATTAATTACCTATAAATAATATTATAAAACTCGTGCAATATTGCCAATATTAATACTAATACGGGCATACTTGCATACAAATAAACATTTTTTTAGTTATTATAACTAAAAAAATTTTTATTTGTATGTAAGTTATAATGACAACGAATAATTATTGAATTTGTATTCAAACAGATTATCCAATCGATGATCGATATATTGGTTGTTTTGTACAAGAAGAAAATTCATTAAGTAATGCAAAATTTGAACTCATCAACACTAATGTGCCTAGTAAATGTTCTGCAATTTGTCATAATGCTAAATATCAATATGCCGGAGTAATGGGGTGATCTATATTTTATTAATCTATTTTTTATAGTACCTATACAATCATTATTACCATTTTTTTTTTTTTGGAGGTGGGAGGTGGTTGTGGCCGTAGAGACCATTCCACCCAGCTAGCATATCATCTTCCAATTTTCTTAAATTATCCGCTAGATCCATCCAGACCTATTCCTTTCCTCCAATCTCTTAAAATCTGAAAAATGCTTCTTAATCCTATCGAAGTTAATATTATAATTAATAGTCTACTAAGAGGTATTTCAAGCCTCATAGGTATTCTTAATGTAATTTTTTAATCATGGAATCATATTTTCTCTATGCATGTCCTGCCCACTTTAACATTCTTCTTTTAATTTAGTCTACCATGTCAGACCACTTGAACAATATTCCTCCATTTCTAGATCATATTATTATTAGGGTTGTAAATGTTTTTAAATTATCATTAATTTGTAATACTTGCTATTGTTTTAGTATCAATTGTTTGTGTAGTAACCATGTACCAGAAAATAATCAGAAAGTGGATGATGCTAATTGTGATACTACTTGTGTTGGTGATTCAAGTAAAACGTGTGGTGGTGAAGATAGAATACAAATATACGATCTATTGAGTAAACGTTGCAATCACAAATATACGTGGTAACTTGTTTGATTTGATAAAATATATTAATTTTGATATATTTTATAGGACAGATAAATGAAACTGAGTCTATTCAAATACCTGATCAAATTAATTATGTTGACACTTTCGAATACCTAAACTTAAAATCCGCTTGGAGTCATGATGTTTTCGTTGCACAAGAACCAGTATGTAATCCAATTATTAAAACATTATAAAATTATAAAAATGTTAAATTAAAAAAAGAGGTTAAGTAGATGTCGCACTGCTGTACAGTAGGTTACAAGTGGGTCACTGCAGTAATGGATAGTATTAAATTTGAATTCAATGATATCATTTTATACGAAAAAAGATTCTGAGTGGAGACATTGGTGTAGCCAAGGGGGGGGGGGGTGCAATGGGCTCCCCTACCATTGGCCTTATTATTTTAAGCGCTGGACGCTTAGGCACATTGCACATTGACCTAAAAGCCAACACGAATGGGTACAAATAAACACTAGTACGTTTGAACACATCGAATAAAAATTATTTTTATAATTTTACCTGGTAAATCAGTCTAATTAGAGAACTTTTGGGTTAACATAATGCATATAAAATATTAGACAACATATTTTTATTACACCTCAACCAATATAATATAATATAATAAAAATACAGATTTCTTTAATCTTTCATCAACATAGACTCGGTGTCTCAGTTTGATTCGTTTTTCCTGACTGAATCATGAATGTGAATATTACTGAAGTTTTTAAAAAGCGTCATGGTAAATAGTATGTTATAATTGTTAATTTTAAATGTAGTAAATTTAGAAAAAAATAATGACTAGAGCAACATTATTGTTTATTGTACCTACGCTAAACGTAACATAACATGAATAGGTACCTACATTCAAAACAAATTTAATGAATTTAATCTTGACAGAAATATTAGGTAGTATTTATATGTAGATAAGCGGTCCAAGTTGTCAGAAAAAAAAAATAATAATACATAAGATAGGCGTAGCAGTAAACAAATAAAATACGATTTTTGAATTAAGTAGATTTAGTATTTATTTAATGGCCCAATCCGCCAATGGTTTAATAAAATAATATGTATTATAAAAAATATTTTTAAAATAGTTGGAAAAAAAAATAGGGGGAACAATATGAGCCAACCTCTCCGTAGTACCTCCTAGGTAACGCTAATAGACTCTACAAATAAAAACTGTGAACTCTAGAAAAAATGTGGAAGTACCTGAAAGTGGTATTATTTTAAAAATATGAATTATGATGAAATAATATATGAAATAAAAATATATAAGGTTCATTTTTGGTGTCTGAAAAAATGTGTACCTAAACGTGTTACCTCTGTTTGCAATCGTTATCCCAATTCCAATGTACAAATATCTTTTAATGTCCAAACGTGTTTCGGAATTTATTTTTACAAATATTATCAGTATACAGCTGTTGAAAAATTGCCATAGAGGTGATCTTTTTAATTGGTTTCAGATTGACCGTAATCATTTGTATTGTTACTTTTTTTTGCGTTTATCAGATAATATAAGATTTTTTTTGCTTTACCGTAGCTTTACGGACTTAGGACATAACAAATGTTCGTTCAATAGTATAAGTTCTTACTGTAACAGATTGAATAAAAAACACATGAATCAAAAAAATAAAAAATAAAAAAAATATGAAATTGTCCGTAAATTGCTCAAAACAATTAAAAATATTTTGAACATTTTATCAAGTATAAGAATTGATAAAATAAACATTCAGTGAAATTTTCATGTATCTACAGTTATTCGTTTTTGAATTACAACAAAATAAGGAAATCGCTACATGAGAAATCGAGTGAATATCCAATGTTGTAAAAATTTGAATTTCAAATGCTTATAAAAATTGAATTTGACTTTTTTATAGACATTTTTTTTTTTTTCGATAAAGGTAAATAATCTTATAAGGAATCTTGTATTACATTTTAACATCTTAGATTTAAAAAGGAAAATTTTTATGAATTCTTAACTCAAAATAATTTGATAATTTTCTTGATTTTCCCATATTTTTTCAATTTTTGAACTTTAAATTCTTATAAAAAAAAAACTGTGACTAAGGATTTTAAATATTTTTCAAATTTCATTGTAACAATATAGTAGGAGCATTGTACCTATTAAATTTTCAAGTATTTTTATCGTGTATAGAAAATGCAAGTATAAACAACTAGTTAAAATTTCATGTATCTACGGTCATTTGTTTTAAAGTTACACCAAAAACCAAAGTCGATTTTGTTTAAAAAATTCCCGTTTTTCTTTAATTTTTCTTTTGTTTTTCTTGACCTTTTGAAAATTACTGGGGATTTTAAACTTGACCTCCCTAATGCACCAACAATATTCACTTTCCCGTCGAACAAGATACTGAAGTTGAAAATCGAAGCATTATTTCGACTAGGTACTTATCGTGTACACACACAGAAAAAAATTAAAAAAAAAACACACACATCATTGTGAAATCAATACATCATCGGTTCCACTCAGAATCAAAAAATGCTCATAAGTATATCACTTAAAAATAATAATAACAAGTCGTTTCCTAGATAATAATCTTACCATCAAATTTTATAATAGGTCAATTCACTCTAATATAGTAATATCACATTTAATAGCATCCCGTTGAAACTAGTCAACGAACATTTATGCTATGTCAAATACCATGGGTAGCGGTCTCTTAATATTGAATATATTTTCATAAGTACCTCTATTTCATTACGTTTTGTTCACAGGATTATGAATTCGTTGTTTACAATAGTTCTGAAAAAAACTCATTCGTGAAAAATAGAGAGCTAGTAATAATGCCTACAATTCAAACCGATAGTTTTATCAGAACTGGTCAATTATCATTGAACGGGTAAGTATACCTAATATATTATAAACATTTTTTTTTTTAATTGTTCATTGATTATAGGTTTCCTCTAAAAAAAAATGAACACATTTTTAAATCAATGTAATATTACTATTATTATGTTTTTAGTTGTACAAAACATGAAGGATCTGTTGGTTGTGAGATGGTTGCTTCATCCTATAATATAATACCTCCTGTAGTTTCAGCGAGACTTACCACAAAAAATAATTGGTTCTTTCTTTATGGACAAGTGGAAGTTATAGCTAAATTACCAATAGGAGATTGGATAGTTTCAGGTAAGTAATAAATAGCAATAGTCTAATAATATTAATTATGGATTCAAATATATTCTATCATTGTATTCAATTTATCTTTTATGAATCATTAGAAATAGCTTTAGTTAGTAAATCAAATGAAAAAAACAGATTGGTATTAGCCAAATCATTTGGAAATACCAATTTGAAATGTAACGGAGACGATGAAAGTGCAACTGTCTTAAAATATGGACTGGAAATCGATGAACTATATCATGTAAAATCAAAAATGATGAAATTAACATCACAAGACACTTGGCACAGTGGCTATCATTCATTCAAACTGTCTTGGTCTCCTGAAAATATCATATTTAAAATAGATGAAGAGAGTAACCAATTGGATACGATGAATTTACCATTGGATTTTATATTTGATTCCGAGGTAAATACTTACCAACAACTTTTAATTATTGTTATATTTTATTATAACTATACCTACTTATTAGAAATTCTGCTTGTTTATATTTTAGTATTTTATGTCTATTGGGGTGTCAGTTGGTGGCATGAATAATTTCCGTGATGGGTGTTTAAGTAATGGGCATTTAAAACCATGGAGAAACTTTGAAACTAAGGTTGATAGTAGAAATAATTATCTTTACCTATACTTGTTTTAAATACTATAGCTATAATAACCTAAATTACAGATTTTATATCTAATTTTTTTTTAAACATCGTAGGCTATGTTAAATTTCTGGAAGGACAAGAATTACTGGTCATCAACATGGAATGAAAACAAATCAGCATTACGAGTTAAAAAAGTAAAGTTTACGTCGTCAGATAGTTAGAACTAATTAATTTTTAATAAATTAAAGAATGACACACTAACTATATTATTATATTGTTTAAGTATACAAAAAAATATAATAAAAAATATCAATAACATTCAATTATATTTGCAATTTTTAATCTTTTATAATTGTAAAACTTTTATATTCCTAGTGGAGCAATGAATGTATTGATTAGTTTTTTTTTATTTTTTTATTTTTGTGTCTGTGTACACGATAAGTAGTCGAAAATAATGCTTCGATTTTTAACTTCAGTATCTTGTTCGATGGGAAAGTGAATATTGTTGGTACATTGGGGAGGTCAAATTTAAAATCCCCAGTAATTTTCAAAAGGTCAAGAAAAACAAAAGAAAAATTAAAGAAAAACGGGAATTTTTTAAACAAAATCGACTTTGGTTTTTGGTGTAACTTTAAAACAAATGACCGTAGTCCGTAGATACATGAAATTTGAATTACAAAAATTATACTTTTAACTATAAATTTTAATTTTAACTATAGTAGCTTATATTTGCATTTTCTATACACGATAAAAATACTTGAAAATTTAATAGGTACAATGCTCTTACTATATTGTTACAATGAAATTTGAAAAATATTTAAAATCCTTAGTCAGTTTTTTTTATAAGAATTTAAAGTTCAAAAATTGAAAAAATATAGGAAAATTATCAAATTATTTTGAGTTAAGAATTCATAAAAATTTTCCTTTTTAAATCTAAGATGTTAAAATGTAATACAAGATTCCTAAGAACCGCTGGCCTAGTCCCTACCATTTTTATTCCACAACCCATTGTAAATTTTCAAAGATCTGATACATCCCCTCCCCTAATCATTTAAACATGTTAAGTGTTTTTGGTCTTAATAGGTAACTCCTAAAAGATAAGTTATAAAATTGGAGAATTTTGTTTGTTTTAAAATGTATAATAAATATCCCAAAACTTTAACATTGTTATTTTCTAGATTAGGTAGTTTTGAACTCGTTGTTGAGCTTTTGATAAACAAAATAAATTCAAACAATAAAATATTTCTACAATTCAGCAAACAATGTTTTCGTATTCTATACATTTAACCTGCAAAATAGATTAGGTAGGTACTAAAATGTTATAAATAATAAATAATAAATATACATTGCAATATCTTTTAATATCACAAATATTTCATTAGTTGTAAAATATATTGTAATATTATAATATGTTAGGAAATGTGAGTATCACATTAGTATTGATAAGCAACTACATACATCAATCAACATAATAAGTATAATAATTAATAATTATATAAATAAGGTCAGACACTGTTGAACTTTAAGAACAACTTTAGGCCTGCGGCTTGATCCAAAGACTCTGCTGACAATTGACAAATTGATCAGCAAAAACTTGTAGGCAAACAGTTGTTACATTTAAATTGCATAAAAAGAAAATATAGTTTCTTGGCCATTTTGTATGTTGAAACGAAGAGGGCTTGCAGCACCGAAACCAAAATAGGTGCAAATTTTATCCCGAGACAACGCATGAGTATCTATATAGTTTAATACTTTTTTGTATGTATCAATTGTGTAATATCAACTTTTTTGTGTGTACGCGCTTATCTCGAAAAGTACCGACTCAATGGATATTAATATGGTTTTAACTAATAGATCGGTTGAGTCACGGCCCACATGGGACTGGAGAAGGGTTTAATGTATAATTTGTTTGGGACAAATTAATTGAGTGGTAAAAAATAATAACAATAACATCCATTTATATAAAAATGAATGTTTGTCTGTATATTCTTTATATGCATTCTTAAGCGGCTGGACTGATTTTGATGACATTTTTTGAGTGTGTTTGAGTGGTTCCCTGGATGATTTAGATTCACAATTGGATCCAATAGGTGCAACCCGGGGAGGTGCTCAAACAGGGTTTTGAGATTTACGATGGACATTTTTGTTTATTGGTTACAGGAGAAATAATAATAATAATTTTATTTGTATATTGGTTGCCGGTGGTTAATCGGGCAGATCAAGCATTTATTACGGGCATCGAGGTGTGCGGGGCAACTATATATTATAATAAATTAAAAGATATATGGAATGTAAATTTGTAAATTTTGTACAAATATATTTATTAAAAATACAAATCTTTGGCCTGGGCAACGTCGGGTAGGACAGCTAGTAGTAAAATAAAGGTAAAATAAAATAAATTATAACCTTTATAGATTTAATTATTTATAGTGTATTTTTTCAACCCCTATAGAAGTTCAGCAAACGGAATACTTATTTTTTTGTTTATTTATAGGTTTTCCATTGGTTAGTGTTAGTGGTTACACACTTATACATAATACCTAAAATATTTATAAACTAAAATTATAATTAAATGTTGTTTGTAAGTAATCATTTGAAAACAGGTGGACCGACCAAATTGTTTTTTAAATGTTTGTAATTATCCGAATATGATTTATATAGAAAGAAAAATAAGAAAATTCGGGAAAAACTGAAAATAATGGAAAACTATTTTTTTGTTTATAAATGGTTGCTATTGGTTATTAATCTATAAGATGATGAGTATAACAGTAATAGTATAAATAATTATTTGGTTCCATATTATTTTACCAACTATAAGTATTACCTACTACCTAGTCAGTAAAATGAAATAAATATAACCGTCAAATATTAAATAACGAATATAAGAACAATGTTTGAATATTGCGAGAGTTGTCATTTTTACGGACAACAAAGTAAACGGGGTTGGCTAGTAGAATTTAAAATTTGCCATGAAATCAAGTTATTTAGTGTGAAGGAAAAGCCCAAAGGGTACTTAGGTGAAATATGTGCAACTGAAATTGTCTTGTGTCACTGTCAAATATGTTTGCGCCATGTTTCAATTTTTTAGTATAAAGAAACTGTATAGTTTATGAACGATGTAATTGGTATAGACTTATAGGTAATTAGTAATTACCATAACACTAAAAACCATTAAATAACACGGTTTTATTTAATCTATGCCTTTTTCTACATTATATTTTTTACATTTCATGAAAATATTATAGGAAGTTTATTTTACTGAGCCATAAAGTATATTAGTTATGAAAAATACCATTAAATTTAAATATTATTTATAGGTAATCAATGAAAATACTAGTTATAAAAACACTAACGGTAATGGACACTGATGATACTTTAGAAAATAAAAATGTTTTCACAACTAAAACATAAATTAGTATTAGTAAATAATTTGATTTTCACTACATCATAGCAATAAAATATAATAATAAATAAATATTTAAGAGCATATGATTTAAGTGTATATATATATAAGTTTTTTTTATGTTATACATAAATATTAAAAATTAATAACAAAATAGAACTTAGAATAGTGTTACTCAAACAAACTACAAAGAATAACCTAGTTATTAAACCCATTTAAAATAGAACTAAAAGAAATAATATAAAAAGTAAGATTTTAATTTAAAGACTTAAAAACTGACAATACACTACTGAAGTGAATAATAATTTTGATTGAATTCTAGCTGTATTCATGATAGAAAACAATTTTAGGCTGCCATATAATATATTATGCAAAAATGAAGCTTCTTATAAAAAAAACATGGTATTGATTATATACAAATAATTTGTTCATGACCCAAATAAATCCACTAATATATTATAATAAATGTATATTTAATTATAAACCAATCTCATTTTTAAAAAGCTAAATCTAGTTTTAAAGATTTTGGAAAAAAAAATATTCCTAAAATAATGTCACAAAATATTTCTTAAACTTACACTAATTTTAAAGATTCACACACTAAATCTAAATTAGATGTTTATGAATTAGAATCTTCATCATCTTCGTCGTCACTTACATGCTTCTTTTTTTTCCGTCTGTTAGATGTTCTAACTTCAGACCCTTTACTACGAGGTTTCATTTTCAGTTTCAACTTAACTGAAGATGAAGTGGTATCAGCATCTGAAACCTCGTCTTCGCCTAAAACATTAAGAAATAATTTTTAACACTAAATTATTTTAGTATCTAAATAGAATATTATTTGTAACTAGTTTTTGTGAAAAATATTTTAGGTTAAAAATATAACTAAATAGATAACTAAAAGCACGGACCAAGATATACAGGACTGGACACAAGATGAATATTGTGGTTACGAAATGTAGTACAATAGGCGGAATTTGGGGGGATATTTTCTTTTTAGCATTATTAGTGGATACTTATGGAACTAGAACACATCATACAAATTTCTAGTTCCATAAGTATCCACTAAGAAAAAGCTAGTAATGCTAAAAGAAAAATATCCCCCCGGGCTCCGCGTGTTGTACTACATTTTGTGGTCAACCCCCCACACGTACCAACCTTGTCGTGTCCAGTCCTGTATATCTTAGTCCGTGACTAAAAGAATGTCAGCACACTCTCTGACCCGCACACAATACACCAAATGTACGTTCAGTAGAACCAACTAACCTTATGTTGTTACATTTATATTAAAGTGAATTCACCTATTAAAGTTAATTAAGAATATTATGTGTGTTGCTACAGTGACTATTTAGTACTTTATAATATTTTAATTTTTATGTAAGTTACGAGCTTAAATTATTACAAATTAAAAATGCTAATAAATTGCATAAAAATTAAAATATCCTAAGAAAGCCAAAGTAGCGACACAGGTCATTACCTGTGTTAATGTTGTTAACTTAAAGTTTGATAATAAGCTAATTCACACTAATATTAAAATTAACAATACGGGGTTGGTTCTGCTAATCGTACATTTGCTGTTGCACATGAGTTAGAGAGAAAACCAATTGTGCGCTGACATCTTATTAACAATCACACATACACAACAAAGCAAATCTAAAACTGGGTTCTTACTAGTTTTGTTTATAGTTAATACAAGAGCAAATCAAAATATAAACGAATTTGTAGAGGAGAATATAAATTTCAAATTATATCATTATTTGTTAATATGGGTGTTATCATAACTTAGAAAATATGTATTGGGTATACTCTATGTCTCTA